AAAGATATTGGTGCAGATAATTTATACAAAGTTATTTCTCTGTACAATGATATGTAATTTCCTTCATGAGATATCGCATAAAATTTATTCTCGAAAAAAAAACAAGGTATAAATATCATTGTAAGATGTGCCAAGTAAATTTTATCCTAACTAGAAACTTCAAAGAGGAAATATTTTAATATCCTTAAACTTAAAAATATAATATGAATAAAACATAGATGAGTTTATGTGATAGTTGATTTTCTGACCCAGTCTATGACAATAACATATTTAAGAATTTTTTTATAAATTAAAATTACAAGAAATATATTAGCATCTCATTTTATCACTCAAAAATTATTATGTACCTTACTACTCGTATATATAATAACATTTTTTGTCCCTTATCTATGATACATCCTCACTGATATTTTAATTTAACATGTTTAGGATATATATCTTTAGCTATTTTCTTTAAAATAATTGAAAAAAGTTCAAAAATAACGATTATGACAATTGTCACCTATCTATGATACATCCTCACTTGAAAAAGTTCAAAAATAACGATTATGACAATTGTCACCTATCTATGATACATCCTCACTGAATTTTTAATTTAACATGTTTAAAATATATATTTTTAGCTATTTCCTTTAAAAAAATTTGAAAAAGTTCAAAAATAACGATTATGACAATTGTCACCTATCTATGATACATCCTCACTGAATTTTTAATTTAACATGTTTAGAATATATATTTTTAGCTATTTCCTTTAAAAAAATTTGAAAAAGTTCAAAAATAACGATTATGACAATTGTCACCTATCTATGATACATCCTCACTGAATTTTTAATTTAACATGTTTAGAATATATATTTTTAGCTATTTCCTTTAAAAAAATTTGAAAAAGTTCAAAAATAACGATTATGACAATTGTCACCTATCTATGATACATCCTCACTGAATTTTTAATTTAACATGTTTAGAATATATATTTTTAGCTATTTCCTTTAAAAAAATTTGAAAAAGTTCAAAAATAGCGATTATGACAATTGTCTATGATACATCCTCACTGAATTTTTAATTCAACATGTTTAGAATATATATTTTTAGCTATTTCCTTTAAAAAAATTTGAAAAAGTTCAAAAATAGCGATATGACAATTTTCACCTATCTATGATACATCCTCACAAATTTTAAATTTAACATGTTTAGAATATATATTTTTAGCTATTTGCTTTAAAAATTTGGAAAAAGTTCAAAAATAACGATTATGACAATTGTCACCTATCTATGATACATCCTCACTGAATTTTTAATTCAACATGTTTAGAATATATATTTTTAGCAATTTGCTTTAAAAAAACTCAAAAAAGTGTAAAAATGGCGATTATGACAATTGTCACTTATCTATGGTACATCTTCACTGAAATTTTGATTTAACATGTCTACAATATATATTTTCATCTATTTCATTTAAAAAAGTTCAAAAATAAGCATCATAACAAATGGCTCTTTTCTATGGTGCATCTTCACTTAAAAATTTTAAAAAATAACTATGATGAATAGTTAATCCAGAGCATTATAATTTAAAGAAGCTTTAAGTAACTTTCCCGCCTATAATATTAATATATACTAAATGTTATTTGACTTTTGGTCAAAAAAAATGATCTAGATATTGGGTTAAGGGTGAAAAAAAGCAACCCTAACTTTAAGTCGTCTTTAAAAAGAAAGATCCATATTTTGAGTCGGATTGAATAAAACGACCCGATGTTTGAGTCTGAGTCAGATAAACGACCCAAACTTTGAGTTGGAGTCGAAAAATACGACCCAAACTTCAAGTTTGAGTCGAAAAATACGACCCAAACTTCAAGTTTTAGTCGAAAAATACACCCAAACTTCAAGTTTTAGTCGAAAAATACGACCCAAACTTCAAGTTTGAGTCGAAAAATACGACCCAAATTTCAAGTTTGAGTCGAAAAATACAACCCAAATTTTGAGTCGGAGTCGTAAAAAACGACCCATATTTTGGGTCGAGGTCGTTTTTTTCGGCTTGGACTTGGGTCGGAGTCGAAAAAAACGACCCATATTTTGGGTCGAAGTCATTTTTTTCGGCTTGAACTCGGGTCGAAGTCGTAAAAAACGACCAAAACTTTGAGTTAGAGTCGAAAAAAACGACCCAAAATTTGGGTGAGCTGCGTTCGAGCTGACTCGGCTAAGCCGATTAACAACACTACATAAGCCTCGAAATTTGAGAATAGTGAAAAGGTTTGGATTTCTCTTGCAAAATTTCAAGGTTTAAGTATAATTTCGTAGGTTATAATCTGGATTGTATCAGTTAACCCGAAATTTAGCTATGATTTCTTCATGTGGGGGGGGGGGGTTAACATTTTTTGGGACATTTATAGGGGAACAGAAAAGAATTATTGGAAAAACATAAAAAATTGTCAAAATTTACTTCATGCAAGAACGAAGTTATATAAAAAATATAACCTATATCTATTGACTGGATTTTTATATTGAAAAAAAAATACAAAAAACTTAATTATTTTTTTAAATATCATCCGAACCACCCCAATATTTTTTAATGTCATATGGAGAAAAAGATATTTATACCGGAGACCTTGATATAGCTTAAATTTATTTTATAAAATTCGGCTATGTGTTTATTTTTTATTTCCAACGGACTTTCTAAAATTTTTATTAATGTTTATGTTTGCTATGACTTTTTTGAAAAATTTGAAAGTGTCGTCTTAGAAGAGTGGAGATTGAAACTTGTAATAATTTGATGTTAATAAGAGTTAATTTTTTTTTAAAAAATAAATAAATATTGATTAATTATATTGTACCCCTATTTGGTTGGAAACTTTATTTAAATGGAAAATCAAACATTAGAATAATTGTTCTCCGCTAGGTAAATATTACAACTTTGTATATCTTGAGAGTGAGACAAAATATTATACAAGAGTCTGAGAAATTAGTCCCTTGGGGGGGGGGAGGTTATATCGATCAAGGCAGACGATTTAAGCGTGTATAATTAAAAATTGTAGGATTTGAAAAAAAATATATAATGTTAATTATAAATCTAACTATTCTATTTAATATAAAGAAACATTAACCTATTTTTATAAAAATTAATTGTTATAATAATTTTAATTAGATCCTTTCCATCTTTTTTGAAATAATATCTTAAAATCTTTATTCTATAGTTAACTTAAAACGATTCAATTCCCATTTGATTAAATAAGATTTTAACGAATAAAAAAAAACTCTTTTTAGCTAATTCAAATTGTAGCTAATGGAATGAGAGTTAGTAAAATTAAGAATTTCAGGTAATAATTATTTATGTGATAAAAATTGATATATGTATAATGCTAGATATTAAAAAATAATGTCCTATGTATTCATTTTTTTAAACTGCAAAGACACTGATTTTTAATATTTAGAAAGGAACGAATTTAACCCTCGAGAACCCAGGTGGGGTATATGAGTACCCCAAAGAGTTTGAAAATGTGATTACTTGAGATTTTTTAAGTATTTCGATATAGATTTTTCAATAGTTTTATAATTTTATGTAAAATAAGTGTGAAATTCAGTAGTTTATAAGTTATAAATGTTTTTATAGCGCGATGTAGTAACAATAGACGCCTCCTATACCCATGCAACTTTTTTCATCTCTTTTAGCATTGTTATATTTTATACATAAAAAACGGTTTATTTATACATCATTTTTATTTGTTAAAAATGGCGATGATTTTTTTTACTAATCGAAATGGGCAGCATTTTATTATCGAAGAATTAATTTTTAGGGCAATTTTTATAATATTGAAGAGTAAATCAATAAAAAAATGTTCAGTTTAAAAATTATCCAGCCACCTTTTGTAAAGTTATATATATATTAATTAACGACCAATATTAATTATTTTAACCCTACCTCATATCTGGCGACCATTTTAGCCTTAACAATAAAAAATTTTAATAAATATAATTAATTTATAGCATTTTTATATTATATTTTTGCTTTTGGTTCTGTTAAATGCACTTTTTATTTTTTAGTACACCACTTTTTTTGCATTTAATTGTTTTTTTATTGATTCCCATATCTACTTAAAATGACGCGTTTTTTATTAATGAACATTTATATTCTTAATTAGTTGAGCACTAAAAAATTAAATTATCGCCAATTCTTTAGAAAATTTTTTGATAAAGCTGTTTTAAATATTTTTTTAACATATCGAGTTTATGGTTTTTCGTTCTTATATCTAATATAATAAATATTAACGGAAAGGTTTGGATTATAGCTTAGACTATATAAAATTTTTTAAAATTATCTTTCAGTTCGCTTCGTATTTTTGGTTTGTTTTATAAGATGGATGAAATTAGATCCTCCTAATTAAAAATAAGGATTGTAAAAAAATGCGGTAGGACAAAGAATAAAAATTAAAAAAGAAATAGACCAACCTATTTTAAAAAAAAGCTTATCCAATGTCAAGGTAAGAAATAATACAAATTACATAATGGCATAAGTTTTTTATGGTAGGTAAAGTATAAATGAAACACTCATTCATGCCACAAAAAAAAACAATAAAAATTGATGAATCGACTTCATTATGATAATTGTATTTTTTAACCTATCTTTTTCCAATATATAAAATAAGAGGTTAAATTAATACAATTTTTAACTTATAATTTATTTATCTTTATGATAATAATTATAATCATTGATCAAATGATATTTATATATGAAATAAATTGTTTTACTATTTTTTATTTATTTATTTTGTCGAGAAATTTCTTTATCTATTCTACGATTGGTTTATTTTATCATGTGACCTATTTTTTTCCATTTTTAAAAAATATATCCATATAAGGAAATTTTGGTAAATGAGTCATATTACCAAATAAGGCAATTTCACGTTATATTTTATGATATAAGAAAAAACAATAAAAAAAAACAAATAAATATATATTATAGAATATGAATGGAATTTTTGTAAAAAAAAATTAATTTTCGAATTTTCTTATTTTCTTTCCTTTTATTATAAATAACCAAACCAATCCTTTAAATTTTTATCTCGTTTTTCTTATATAATAAAAGAGAATCTTTTGATAGCTTATATTCTTAAAATCAAACTATCCAAAATCATTAAAAAATGTGTGATGATGATGTAGCAGCATTAGTTGTGGATAATGGATCAGGAATGTGCAAAGCTGGATTTGCTGGTGATGATGCGCCAAGAGCGGTTTTTCCATCTATCGTAGGCAGGCCTCGACATCAGGTAAAGACAATAATTTTACTTCAATTTTTTTTTATATAAGATTTCGACATAACATATTTTTGAATTTTATTATATATTGCATAATCGCAATGTAGGGAGTTATGGTGGGTATGGGACAAAAAGACAGCTATGTTGGCGATGAGGCCCAAAGTAAGAGAGGTATCCTGACCCTCAAATATCCTATCGAACATGGTATTGTTACCAATTGGGACGACATGGAAAAGATTTGGCACCACACCTTTTACAATGAACTCCGGGTAGCCCCAGAGGAACACCCTGTCTTATTAACGGAAGCCCCCCTTAACCCCAAAGCCAATAGGGAAAAGATGACTCAAATAATGTTTGAAACCTTTAACACGCCCGCGATGTACGTCGCTATCCAAGCCGTTCTTTCACTATACGCATCAGGTATACAATCTGTTTTAGTGTTGCTACATTGGTTGAACAATTTAATTATTCATGCACTACTGTGAATAGGATCATTAAATATCATTTTCATGACAGGTCGTACTACGGGGATTGTTTTGGATTCTGGCGATGGTGTCTCGCATACCGTACCTATATATGAGGGTTATGCTTTACCTCACGCTATTCTTAGATTGGATTTAGCTGGGCGTGATTTGACCGATTATCTTATGAAGATATTGACGGAGCGTGGATATTCTTTCACTACCACTGGTATGATAAATTTATTCCTTCAATTTTATTTAAATTGCAATCGATTTGAGCTTTTCATATTTATTAAATTTTCAATTGCATTTAACGTAGCCGAAAGAGAAATTGTGAGAGATATCAAGGAAAAGTTGTGTTACGTAGCTCTCGACTTTGAACAAGAGATGGCCACCGCCGCATCTTCCAGTTCCCTTGAAAAGAGCTATGAACTGCCCGATGGTCAAGTCATTACCATTGGAAATGAACGTTTCAGGTAAAGTTTTTAAAATTGTATATTATAAAATAATGATAAAAATTAAATTAGAGATATAATTAATTTAATTAATAATTTAGGTGTCCAGAAGCTTTATTCCAACCATCTTTCCTTGGCATGGAATCGACTGGAATTCATGAAACAACTTATAATTCCATAATGAAATGTGACGTGGATATTCGTAAGGACTTATACGCCAATACTGTTCTTTCTGGTGGTTCCACCATGTTTCCGGGCATAGCCGATAGAATGCAAAAAGAGATTACTTCCCTAGCTCCCAGCACTATGAAAATAAAGATCATTGCCCCACCTGAGAGGAAATATTCTGTTTGGATTGGTGGTTCCATCCTTGCCTCCCTTTCTACCTTCCAACAGATGTGGATTAGCAAACAAGAGTATGACGAGAGTGGCCCAAGCATAGTTCACAGAAAATGCTTCTAAATTTTTGGCTTATTTCTAACCCAAACCTTATAAAATATTATATTTTTTAATTTACCTAACATTCCTATTTATTTTTCACCACTCACACTTTGCCAAAAATGTTTTAATACATAATATGAATCTAATCGCGTTTTATTACAAATTTATATACTGTTAGATAAATTCATGCCCACATACCTTTATAATCTCAATCATTTTTAAAATTGTTGGAGTTTTTTCTTACAATGCTTTATTTTTTTTCATTAAACTTTATGCCATAGATATGCATATTTTGTGAAAATTAAGCAATTTTGTAGCATTTATTTATATATAGAGAAGAGAATAAATCGATAATTCGTATTAAACTAAAATTTAAAATTGAGTGTGATTAGTTGCAAGAATAACAAATTGCAATTTTATTAGCCGGTTGAGTTGTATTTTTTTAGTTAGGTAAAATTTTTTAATGTTATAGTTCTCGTAGTGATCAGAGGGGCTTAATACATTTATTTTTGGTTTAAAATTTTACTTAAATCATAATTTTCACGGTTAGTGGTCCGGTTACGATTAGGTTTAGACTAATTTACATAACCCTAGCTAGTGTTAAATAGTCGAGTTCACCCGACCTCAGTCTGAGTCGTTAGTCGAGAACATAAGTTTACCTAAGTCGACTAGAGGACGAATAGGTGTATAATATTTTTGTTACAATTTATGGTTTTCATGCAAAAATTTTAAGCAAAATTTGAATTGATAAGATTTTAAAATCTTTTTTAATTAATTTTTTTGTGAATTATTAATCTTTATGGGTTTATTTTTATCATTTTTGTAAAATTATCTATTTTTTTAGTATATTAAAAGAACTAGTTTAAATTATTTATAAATATTTATATTAAATTTTTATGAAATTGATGGGCGTTTATTCCCAACCAGATATGAAAAATGATTATCCCAACCTTCGCATTGATTATTTGTGGGTTCTTCTTCAGATAGGGTGCTCTCATTCACGTTCCAAGTTTCTGGAGGAAATCGAGGCCCAATTTGACGTGTTTGGGATTGAGAATTGCTTCTTGTGACCTCCCTTGACTCCATTGATGTAATTTTTATCGAAATATTCAAGAATATCTTTACCATTGGTCGGAGTAACTGATCTCAGGAATGCCATTGCATTGCCCATATCACATAAAGGAACAAATGCTAAGCCGTCCCTCATGCCACAAAAGAGGCTTAGGGCTTCATTGGTTCTGTATTCGCTTTCCAGACCTAGCTTTTGTAGTTTTCTATGGGTGCTTTGACACAAATGGTAAATCATCCTCTGATTATAATATGATCCCCTAATTGAAAAAACAAATATAAATAATTTAACATATTAATGATCATACCAAAGATAGTTTTAACCTCGCTCATAAATTTTTCGAAATCCATGTATATATATAATGGATCAGGAAATAAATCCCTTTCTTGACATTTAGATAATATTATTTCGAATATTTTTTCGTAAGATTTAGTGTTGGGGGGGGGGTACTGATATATAATTGCAGAAAATTTTTTGGGGACATAAAATTTCCACCCATTTCAATATAATATGTCATGAGCACTCACTTATAAATTTATTTATCAAAATTAATTATTGCTAGGTTATACTAAAAAAATTAAATGAAAATTGAGAAGAAAAAAATTGAGAAAAGATCCGAAAAATAAAGATTAAAATAGAAAATAAATGACCAATCCCTCCCCCGTCTCTCTCTCCCTGTTATTTAAAATTTGTAACAATAGCAAGATTTTTTGGTATTATTTCAATTTAAAATGTATTATATATATATTTATTCTTAAATTTCAATGATTATAGCGCCTCGATGGCACCAGTAAGTTTTTTTTTTAAAATAATTCTTATTTTAATAAATGTTCAGTCTCAAGTCTCAACGCTACACCCTTACCAAAAATTACATAATTTAGTAAGCATAAAAAAATATTCGATTTAAATTACGAAAATGTATTATATATATTTATTCTTAAATTTCAATGATTATAGCGCCTCGATGGCACCAGTAAGTTTTTTTTTAAAAATAATTCTTATTTTAATAAATGTTCAGTCTCAAGTCTCAACGCTACACCCTTACCAAAAATTACATAATTTAGTAAGCATAAAAAAATATTCGATTTAAATTACGATAAAAATATTTATGATAATATAAAAAATTTTTATTATTATTTACTCATATTATTTGTTATTATCATGCAAAATTGAATCCAAATTTTTTGTGTTCAAAAGCGTTCCTGTTTTTTTTTAAATACCATTTAAAAAAATTTAAAATAACAATATTTATTTATTTTTTAAGTGTTTTTTTTTATATGTATTACATGATTTTTAAATATATAATTTTTACGTTGATAAATCTCATTTTGAACCTTTGCGCAAATAAACAAGAATATCTTTTAGTTCAATCTCCACTAAAAGTTCTCATACAACTAACATTAAAAACGATCCTCCTAATTTTTCTTCGTCTATATTATTTCTCAGTCTATTTTTTATAATTTACTAAATGTTCTCTCGCAATTAACTTGAGTAAATGATAAAGAAATGTATTCATATGTGAAAAATAAATTAGTGTATGCACTTGTGTGCATATTGTAGCTTTTAAGAATTTCATACAGGCATATTAAACAATTGTTACATTTATTATCACAATTCACATTCTGAGTTATTATCTTATTCTACTTTTTCATTAGACTCCTCACCTGCTCATACGATATCATCGTACGTTTCATTTAATTCGCCTATTAAATCTATGAATTCACAGGCAAATGAACACAATTCATTACGTTATTTAATATTCAATATATTTCTTGTGTCACTTTTTCCAAGGCCTTTTCAAAAATACCTATTTTTATCAAAATTTCTACGATAATATTGCACATTCAAAATAAACTCTCTTTTTGCAGAAAATCGTTCTGATGTTTATAATTTGATCAATTATAGGATGAAATACTTCGATCCTATAATTTCAAATCAAATCCAACAAGTTTTTTTTTTATCTCATTAATTTTTCCTACGATAACATCCACAACAGTTATCGATAATCTAATATATTTTTTAATGTTTACCTAATAAATTTTAAATAACAAATAAAAGTTGTTTATTAGACTGCCCATTGTTAAAATTTTTCAAAGGTCCGTTAGCACTTTTTAAATTATTTAGCTAGTCAGCCCAATTTGATAGAAGGGCGTGGGCTAAAAACCAGATCATTTGGGCAAAAAAATTCAAAAATATTTTAAATAACGATTAACTTAAATTTTAATTTAACATGTTTACAATATATATATTTACAAGTTTGCTTTAAAAATTTTCAAAAAGGTTCACAAATAATGATTATGACAATTGACACTTTTTTATAGTCATCTTCACTGAAATTTTAATATAACATGTTTATAATATATATTTTTATTTATTTTCTTTGAAAAAATTCAAAAAAATTCCAAATAACGATTATAACAATTCTCACTTTTCTATGGTACATCTTCACTGAAATTTTAATTTAAAATTTTTACAATATATATTTTTACCTATTTACTTTAAAAAAATTTAAAAATGTTCAAAAATAACGATTATGACAATTGTCACTTTTCTATGGTACATCTTCACTGAAATTTTAATTTAACATGTTTACAATAAATATTTTTACCCATTTGCTTCAAAAAGTTCAAAAATAACGATTATGACAAAAATTTTAATTTAGCATGTTTACAATATATATTTTTACCCATTTGCTTCAAAAAAATTCAAAAAAGTTAAAAAATAACGTTTATGACAATTGTCACTAGAGATCTGCAAAGTTAGGCCCGGCCCGAGTCCGGCCCTGCCTAATTCTATTTAAAATAATCGGGTTCGGGCCGGGCCTAATATTTTAAAAAAAAATTAGGGCCGGGTCGGGCCTAATATTTAAAAAAAATTCGGGCCGGGTCGGGTCGGACCTTGGATATTTTTTAAAATATATCTAAATTTATCAATTTTATATTGAATTTTATATGTAAAATAAAAATATTTGATTTTATTTATTGAAACTAAACTACATATAACATATGTCTTTTATTTTGAGTAATTATAAAGATTAATTTCTATGTTTAAATATATTCGGGCCGGGTTGGGTCGGTAAATTTTTTTTAAAAAAAATTTCGAGTTCGGACCGGACCGGCAAAACTTTTTAAATTTCGGGCTCGGGCGGGCAAAACTTTTCTAAAAAAAATTTCGGGCCGGGCCGGGCTTGAAAAATTAGGCCCGATGCAGATCACTTATTGTCACTCTTCTATGGTACATCTTCATTGAATTTATTTTAACATCTTTACAATATAGATTTTTACCTATTTACTTTAAAAAAATTCAAAAAAGTTAAAAAATAACGATTATGACAATTGTCACATATCTATTGCGTCAAAAATTTCAAAAAACTTTATAAATAACGATTATGACAATTGTCACTTATCTATGATATATCTTCATCGAATTTTTAATTAAACGTATTTACAATCTAAATTTTTACCTATATACGTCAAAAAATCTCAAAATACTTTAGAAATAACGATTATGACAATTGTCACTTATCTATGATACATCTTCATCGAATTTTTAATTAAACGTATTTTCAATCTATATTTTTACCTATGTGCGTCAAAAAAATTTCAAAAAACTATAGAAATAAATATTTTGACAATTGTCACTTATCTATCACTGAAATTTTAATTTAACATATTTACAATCTATATTTTTACCTATTTACGTCAAAAAAATTCAAAAAACTTTAGTAATAACGATTATGACAATTGTCACTTATCTAGGGTACATCTTCACTGAAATTTTAATTTAACATATTTACACTATATTTTTTACCTATTTCCGTCAAAAAAATTCAAAAAACTTTAGAAATAACGATTATGACAATTGTCACATATCTATGGTACAACTTCACTGAATTTTTACTTAAACGTATTTACAATATATATTTTTACCTATGTGCGTCAAAAAATTTCAAAAAACTTTATAAATAACGATTATGACAATTGTCATATATCTAGGGTACATCTTCACTGAAATTTTAATTTAACATA